TGTAGTAATTTATGATTTTTTTAGTTATTAAAATGTGTGTATATATATATATATATATATGTGTATATATATATAAACTAAAAAAAAAGTTTCATATCCTCCAAATGGAAAATTTTTTAAAGGCTCAGCAACCTACATCAAGCAGCAACCGAGTACAAAGGGCGTAACTAGAAGAGATAATTGTTCACTTTACTTCTTTAGTTATTGTTCTATGGTTTAAGAACTTATTTCAAAATAGCAATAATCTATATACATATACAATGTATAATAATTGAAATGTGAATGTTTTTTACAAAATAATAGTTACTAAAACACAGCCAAAACAGGTTACTTTGTAAAGACCAAAGATCAGTTTTATGTTATTCGATACCATAACATGAGTGCACGTGTGCCGCATCATTGTAACTTCTGTATTGTTAGCCAGGCACGACTGAAAGGTCAATATAATAAATATATAATGTTATGAGATTTAAGCTATTTAGTCTAAACATTTATGATATGTTTTCGAAAGAGGCACAAGTTATATTTATTTCCTAATTTTTTTATGGTGGGTGGGAGATCGGTCAAATCTACCAAACCTGTAAAGAAATGTTTTATAACTATCTCAACATTACAAAGATTTCGTATGTGAAATATCAAAATTTTCTGATGCATAAAACTATTTTTAATCTTAAAATGAATATTACTTTGCATGATAGGTAGGCAACATGCATGAGAAAAACATTGCTTTACAAACCTTAAGACTTAATAAAAACATTTTGCACACGAAAACATTGTAATGTTTACTAATAATCTGCCAAATTTCGTTAACATTCACTTACTAATTTAAAAATTATAGCATGAAAACAAAAAGTACAAAATGGTTATGAGGTCGTCACATTGACTGACCCCGTATTGAAAGAGTTAAGATAAAACTTAAAATAAAGATCATTAATATTGGCTTATATCACTTTTAGTTGCCTTTATAATTATTCAAAAAGAAACTGACAGATAATATTAAAAGAAAGTAACAATTCAACATTTTACATAAACAAGTGTTGTCAGTCACAATGGATTTTCCCAAATGTAAAAACACTGAGTTCTACAGGAATTCATTTTTCTAGTACTGATTAATGAGAAAAAAACAACAAAAAACTATTCAGCATTATTGTAGATATTAAGACTAAAAACAAGTAGTCTCTGACTCAAAGGCAGCAGAAATGGTAAGGCACTTTGTAAGAACCATATATGGCATTTATTCTTCTTTGCCAAAAATCTACAAAAATATGCTATATTTCACGAGGAATCCAGGTGTCCACAAATCAATGACTGGATACCATGAAAATAGGTTACAGTTGGTTTTGGAAATGAAGTAGAATTAACAGCCAATCTGCATATGTAAAGTAGCAAAATGATAGATGTTAGAAAGCATAGCGGGTGCACATGCAATCACAAGGCACATCAATTGCTCAAACAGTTACCCATAGAGAGGTCAGACTTTTCTGAATGAAGTACAAGAATATTAAAGATTAGAGGAGCCTAATAGAATAATTGCATAATAGCATGACCACAGTATGCAGGTGGCCCTCTTTGGTAGGGGGAGAAACACCTTAACAACTACACGAAGAAAACAACAATATGATCACTGGATCTTACATTACACTGCTATGTAACTCAATCTTAGGCTTTCAGATATAGTGAGATACACCAGCACTTGCAAAGTCATATTTTCCAATGTTGAGTAGGAGATTGCTCATTAAGCAGTCTGCTAGAAAATGATTTGTGTAGCTAGTATGATACTGTATCACTAACATTATTTACAGGTAATAAAGAGAAAACTTATTAGCGAGATAAACTAGAATGAAGCACATAATTGATAAAACAAGAAAGAAAAAAAGGACAAAATTTTATGTTACCTCTTCATTTCAAATGAGTGGCAACTACACTGTTTGGAATGCAACAGTTCCAGGCAGAATGAAATGCTTGTTTTGAGCAAGTGAGAGATTGAGTACTTAAAATGTAGTTATAGACTTACAATCAACTGTAATCCTATGATGCAACTTAATCACAGTCAACACATGTGACAAAGCAACAAACTCCCTATATGAATCATTAATATGTGGAAACCAGCCACATCAATACGAGGCAAAATACCAGTTAACATTATATATAACTTCACGACCTTTCAACTCAAATCTGACTGCTTTCAAAATGAAGGATGAAATTTTGAAACTTAATATTAACTTTGAGTATTATGTAGCTTCTGAAAATAAAAGCTTTGTGATACTTATATGACTTTCCAGCTTTGAAAATTTCATTATGATCTTCTTTTAAAATAAGCAATAAAAATACCTTTGCTGTGGATTTCAACTACTGATTTTTATATTCCTACATTCTTTTAAACTTCCCTATAAAAATTTTATTGTACAAAACTGTAGATGTTTTAATTTGAAAAAACAAACATTGCATACAGTTTCACTGTGTTTACAATCATTAGCATACAATAAAAATAGCATTTTAAACCATAAAATGATTAATAACATAGCAATTTTTTCCAACTGTTATTCAGGTCTTCATTTAATGTGTGTACTCAGTTTCAAACTTCTTTTATATCTTCATTTATATCCTTAAATTTATTTTTGTGACTTTTTATAAGAAGTTACTTATTCTAACAAGATTGGGTGCAAAATGAATTTACTAAGCTTACTTTATCTTGTTCTACTAAAACGTTTCCTATCATTCTGCAACATTATAGTTCAAACGAAGCATAAAATATTAAACGAAGTTATATTCAACTTCAAAAGAGAAAAATAGGACTAATTATAGTGGAAGCTGTAAACAAATATCTTTTCTACTAGCAACATATCAGAAAGCTAATTTTTTTTTATCTCTAAAAAAGTCTCTTATAAACTTGAAGGCATACTAACTTAGTTTCATTATGTGTTTAGTTCACTAGCCTATCACTTCTTCAAGCAGAAGTATTGGCAATCACACCATCACAATCTTAAATTGAAGTTGAGGAAGTCATTAACTAAATTCAACAAAATTTTGTTAACTTTTTCTGTTTTCTTTTTATAGTACAGAATGTGTATTATGTTAAAAAAATTCATGTTTTTATTCTTATTGAACCAACTTGTAAAGTTTTATACATAAGATTAAGATAAATTCTATCAACTTACTTATTTTAAAGCTTTAGACAATGTTAACTCCTACACAGTTATTAAGCCAATGTAATATTGTTGCTGTATAAGCAAGCACTGAAAATTGCTTTTGGGTGTAATGCATAGCATAACCTGTTATGTAGTTTTTATTTTATTATAAATCATAAATTTGGCAACAAAATACAATTTATATTTTAAGAGGTCTCATGTTCTATAGCCAAGTGTTTGTGCTTCAGATATGGTGATGTTAAGGAGTTAATTTTTATTAATGCAAAATCAGTAAGAAGTGGAGTTACTTCCTACCGATATGGAAAGGGTTGACTCTCTCAATATAGGCTTGGTCTATTTGACCGACCACGTGACCTTTTTGTACTCTTTTAAAATATACAGATATAATTCTAACTCTCAACATAGTGTGTATATCTTAACAAAATTTGGCAGTATTTCAGTTAACTTTACAAATCTTTCACATACAAAAAATCATATTTTTCAGAGAAGTATTTTAAATAAAATAAAGATTTGTGCAGGAATATATTATTTGTTTTGAATAGTCCATGTGCAAAGTAATTTTCATGTTAAAATTAAAAATACTTTTCTCCATCTCAAATTTCCTTTGTGTGATCCCTAAAACTTCCTAAATGCATTTCAATGGTTTTTCTTCAGTAAAACTTAATAGTTTCTCTACCCTATCTCAAAACTAGATTGGTCAATTCGACTGACCTTGTAACCACCAAGAAAAGCTTTTAACCTTTTCTTGGTGGACCATAGGTGAAAGGCCATATCATCTTGTTTGTTGACTTTCAAAATTTTATTGAATTTATTTCATGAATTGATGTTAATAAGTTTGGTACCAAACTATAGATTAAAAATTCAAATTTTAGTACTATACATTACTAAATTTCTTAATTCAAAAGTAAATATTAAAAACAGATAAACATCAATATTTGTGTGTCATGTGGTGTGTTGAATGTGACACTGGTTCAAATTAGATGTCTGTGGAGTCAAAACACTAGGTCTAGTGTTTCGTATGAATTAGAAACTCAAATTACCGATATTAACAAACTAGAATATAAAATAAGAATGTCTTATCTTTTCTATTTGCTAAAATGTTGCTCATGTGATAAATCAGACAGTGGCACACCACCCACCTCTTTCCAATTTTGGAAATGCTCCATAAAATACACCTACTTCTTTATATGACATGAATAACCAATCGAAAGCTCAGAATACCCCCTTAGTGGCTTTCGTGGTTATTTAGAATTTTAAGGACACCATTTCTTTCTTTTGAACCAATATTTCAAGGAGTTAGGTTGTTTCTTTAGTCTATTCCAATTTTCATATTTTTTTAGACTAAAATACAGCTATATAGTGGAATTCTATGGTATTGATGTAATTATTGATGATTTTTTAGTTATTCAAATGTATATAAAATCCAAAAAAATTATTTTGTTTCATATCCTCCACGTGCAAAATTTTTTGAAGGCTTAGCAACCTACGTCAAACAGCAACCGAGTACAAAGGTCGTAACTAGAAGAAATAATTGTTTACTTTACTTCTTTATTTACTGTTCTACATTTAAGAAAAATAAGTTTAAGAACTTATTTCAAAATAGCAATAATTTATATACATATATAATGCATAATAATTAAAATGTGAATGTATTTTATAAAATAATAGTCTACTAAAACACAGCCAAGACAGGTTACTTTGTAAAGACCACAGATCAGTTTTATGTTATTTGATACAGTTACATGAGTGCATGTGAGCCGTGTCATTGTAACTTCTGTATTGCTAGCCAGGCATGGCTGAAAGGACAATATAATAAAAATAATAAATATATAATGTTACGAGATTTAAGCTATTTAGTTTAAACATACATGATTTATGTTTTCGTGCTATAATCTATAGTCATTATAAAATGAAAGAGACATAACTTATATTTATTTCCTAATTTTTTATGGTGGTTACGAGATCGGTCAAATCTACCAAACCTGTAGAGATTCATCACTGAAAATAACAGATAAAATATAAATTTTCTTAAGAAACATTTGATAACTATCTGGACATTATAAAGACTTTGCATGTTAGATAGGCAAGGTGTGAAAAGAAAAACAAAGGCATGAGAAAACCATTGCCTTACAAACCTTAAGACTTAATAAAAAATTTGATATTTTGCATACGAAAGCATTTTAATGTTTACTGATAATACATTAAATTTTGTTAACATTCCTTACCAATTTAAAAGTTATAGCATGAAAACTATAACAAGCACAAAATGGTTATAAGTTTCGTCCCAGGGACCGAGCCCATGCTGACAGAGTTAACAAACTCGGAGTCATTTTTTATATTGTTATAAAAATATGCATACATAAACCTTAAGCTGAATTTTTTGTGATTTTGCAGCTGAGGTTCAAAATGACATCCATAATTCACTATCCAAGCTTTCAAGCCTCAACTGTACTTAAAATAAGAGCTTATAAGTATAGCATAAAAAAATGTAGCTAATAATCCATATTTTATTCATACATAAGTTAAGTTCTTAATTCTATACAGTAATATTTAAAAATATCCTGACATTTTCTCTTTAGGCATCTCTTCTCAAGTTTATTTTACACCTCTTTAAGAAGTACAAATTATAATTTAAATTACTCGTTTATAATGTCACCATTGCTCAGGTAAAGCAATAAATAGAAAATCAACCCCTTTTCCCATGCCTACTTGTTATATCCTCTTTCAGAAATTGCTAATAGTTCTCTCTGATGTTCAATTCTATATCATTTATTACAAATAGAAAGCCAGTTTTTATCTACCAAACAACAGAACTGTCAATATCACTTTCAGTACAAGCTTGATTTCCTCGGGAAACACATCGATTATCTAAGAGGAATTTGTAACAGCTCTTGTTGCACAGAAAAAGCCAAAAAATTGTGATAGTTATGGGACAGTATGCTTTTTTACATATTATTCTGTGTTCTTTGTTGCATTTATTTAATCCAATAAAAAATTTAGTGCAGTACTACCATTAGTATAAAAAAGTAAGGTTAAAAAGAAAGCCCACGTAACTACTTTAAGTTTATTTCTTGTTTTTCCAGAGTATTCTTTATTATTGTAAAAATAACTAAAATAAAATGTAAAAATAGGATTCTACATGAATCATCAAATCACGTCAGCTTCAAAGTAAGTTTTCGACATGATAGCAATATTTTTTTTAGTTCTTTTTAAAATCCTTTCTTATATTTTAAGAATTGCTGTTACTTATGCTTCTGTGATAAAGTTAAGAAGCACGAAGTAGAGAAATCTCAATCCTTTAAAAATGAACCTCTGACTCGCAATCCTTAAATAATTTTACATTGTTAAATGTACTTTTGATTTGATTTCTAGTATAGCACTGGCCCAATAACAAAACTGGACATGTATCAAATAACAATAATAAAAACTTTTAAATTAAGACTAATAATAGTACAACTCCTAGTACGTCCTGCAGACAACATTCTTCAACTTCCAAGTACAATCGTAGGCCTAATTAATTTAGTTGTGCGCTTGAAAACGATACCGGTCTCCACGAATTAGGCTCACAAAATAAGATATATTTTATAAATATTTCCTAGTTATTGTACTAACCCTTAAACAATTGTATTGAAAAATATAACCATTCAAAAGAATCACACTTATTAAATTATACTTAAATATACCTCAATGGTCTTCACCTTCTCAACGCTCACTCGACTCTTGCTCCTTTTGTTTCGAATGGTCGCCTAAACGTTATGCAATTCGTGATTACTGCGCGGCGTTAAACCGCTTCGAACAGGTTTTCCAAAACGGGGTTTTAACTAGTGTTAACAAGGATTTTATTCAAAAATATAAACATTTTTAGACAAAAACATTTAGTATATATTTAGATTAACGGGAAAAGTCACAATATAAGTTTCAATGTATATATGTAAAAGATAATCTTTGTTTTAGTAAATTATAATTTGTACTTAATGCTCTTATTGGACAAATTATTTTAATATTAACCGAAGGATACACTTAAAATTCATACTAACAGATGTATATACATAGAACATGGATTGTGGTTTAGCATACATAAATAAAGTTATTAGAAATAAATAAAAATTAAATAACAACATACTTATATTTTAACAAGTGATTAGTCTATATATATTAAGACAAAAAAAAAAAGATTTACAAGTGTCGAAATAATGTATGAGATAATTTTATTTTAATTACGATTTTGTTTATTGTTTATGTACTTTTCCTTCTATTGTTTGGTTCAACATTATTTGCCTTAACACTAGCTCACCTGCATCCTAGTATATATTAAATATTACACAAGTGATTTTTTATATTAAAACAATTAAAGACACAAACATGAGGTTTCCCTATCAGTGAAGTAGGGATACTAATTTTATGATTGATTATGTTAAAAAAAAGAAAAAATAAGTAGTAAGTCGTGCGATATGTTTATTTGTTAGTAATTAAGCCCAAAGCTACACAATGGGCTATCTGTGCTCTGCCCACCACGGGTATCGAAACCCGGATTATAGCGTTATAAGTCCGCAGACATACCGCTGTGCCACTGGGGGCCGTGCGATATGTAATCGCGTGGTTTATCAAGACAGGAAATATCCTTAAGTGCTGAAATTAAACAACTTGTTTGTTTGAAGTTAAGCACAAAGCTACACAATGGGCTATCTGTGCTCTGTCAACTACAGGTATCGAAACCCAGTATGTCCACAGACATACCGCTGTGTCACTGGGGGGCTGAAATTAGACAGATGACAAAGATAGGTTTTAGGTTAAAGACGCGTGAAACTGATATGTAAGATATTTCATTTGTTAACAGCTCTTATTGTAAGTACGTTTGATCTTTTATTTACAATTTAACGACATACTTTTGGAATTGTCTAATATTGTTATCTTAGATAATCTTGTGAATTAGGTTTTACTTCTGGTAAATCCCCCCCCCCCTCAATTATTTGTAATTATTACTATTATTATTTTGTGTGGGTTATTATTAATAACGTGGTTTTTGCATTTTTTTGCATTTGAGTTTGAGATATTGGAAAAGTCCTGGCTAGGCACTCCTTTATTAGCATCAAATATTTTGTAAAACTTGTAATATTTAATAAATTTCTTATTTACCACACTTTAAGAATATGGTTTAGTTTGTTTGGAAGTTCGCAAAAGCTACGCGAGGGCTATCTCGTCCCTAGTTTAGCAGTGAAAAACTAGAAGAAAGGCAGCTAGCAATCACCACCCATCGCCAACTAACGGACTACTATTTTATCAATGAGTAGTGAGATTGACCGTCACGTTATAACTTTCCTACGGCTGAAAGGGCGAGCATGTTCGGTGGGACGGGAATTCGAACCCGCGACACGCAGATTGCGAGTCGAGCGCCCTAACTTTAAGAGTAATTTCGTCGTTTAATACGTGCTCAGGGGCGTCATTTGGGGGAAGGAGGCAAATGACAGTGTTTATGAGGCATTTCTAGTCGGGCCATATACAAAAATTACGCCATAGTGTAGGTCACTCAACTAAAATGGAGAGCCCTTTGTGAAATGATGCTCCTGAAAGTGCTGTTTTAAAGCCATAATGGTGGGACAAAAATTCCAGATAATGGGCCCCATTAGAATATATGTAGTAGAAAAGGTTGAAAAATGTTTAGGTGTTTGAGATAGATTTTTTAAATACTTAGAACTAATAAAACTTTTTTGTTCTACTTGAGAAATACTGACATATGTTTACTTTAAATGAATACTTTTCGTACTCAAGCCTCGAAGAATCGTTAAATTAATATGTTCATCACTTATTCATTTTATTTAAAAAGGAAGTTACAGCTAACAATAGTATTACTAAGTTCTTGTAGTAATAGTATAGTCCTAGCCGGTATCAAGGTCACACATGACCCAGAAAAGTCAGATTCGCTTTGGACATACCCTTCCCTTCATGACAATGTTATTTGTTATTCAAAATACATTTCAATATACTAGCAGTCTATGTACCCTACGAAAGTACACTTTTCCATGACTGTGTCCATGGATGTATTTCAAAGCATTTTAGGCGATGCGACTTCTCTTTATCTGGTTGTGTATAATACAGTCATGCACTCACGAATAGTTCTTTCACACACCCACATTTAAACGGATATTCTTCTTGAAATGATTTTTATACATAAAAATACAATTTTTTAAAATATATATAATTTGATGAAAATCTACAGTAGTAAGATATCTATAACTTATAAGTAGATGGCCTCGTATTAAATTTATTACTTAGGACTATCATAATCATGTATTAGGTCGTCAAGAAATTAATGTAGCGTTTTGGAAAACTTTCATTAACCACCCCCCAAAAAAACATATATCATCTATAATAGTTAAACGAACCGCCTAATGTCACGTTAGTGTAGCCTATATAATGGGCAAAGTTTAGTATACTCTAATTTCTTATAGTGATGGCACGCGACGAGACAAACATTCGGCATGTAATGCTGTTTGAATCCAAGAAGGGAAACAACGCCTCTGTAACCATCAAAGAATATCAAAAAAGTTTATGGAAATGTTTCGAACATTTGTAAGAGTCGACGATGGTTCAGCGAATTTCATTCAGGTGACTTTAGCCTTAAAAACTGTGATGACAGGGCCCGACATGTTGGAATTGATAATGATGCTCTGAAGACTTGTTGAGTTCAACCTAAGGCAACACACCCATGAAATGGCACTGAAATTGCATGTCTCTCGTGAAACAATGCGTAAACATCTAAAGATTATAGGAAAACTCCTTAAAGAAGGTGTTTGGGTGCCTCAGGAACTCTCCGATGACCATAGTTTCCAACGTGTGAACATTGCTTCGTCTCTTCTGGCGCATAATACGCGTGAACCGATTTTGGATAGAAGTGTCACCGGTGATGAAAAATGGATTTCTATGCGAATATCAAATGCCAAAAACAATGGTTCAGTCCTAGACAAAAACCACCTCCGACCCCCAAACCTGGACTCCATCCGCAGACGGTGATGCTTTGCATTTGGTGGGATATCAAAGGAGTAATTCATTTCGAATTCCTCAATCCACAGCGAACTGTCAATACAGAGATCTATAGTCAGCAACTGGAAC